ATATTGAATTGATTTAGGAAATTGTCAGCATCTAAGTCATCATCATGGCAATATTGTACATGTTTGAGTAGTAAATTTTTTCCTTGTTCCTCTAGTTGGTAGAATCAAGGGTAAATACAATATATTAGCCACAACTATTATGAAGCGGGGAATTATAGCCACAACTATGGAAATTCAAATTATTAGCCAAACGTTAATTATCTGTTAACAATTTCGTTAGTAATACTGACTAAACTTTTATGTTTTAAAGTTATAAATTAAAAGCATTCCGATGTGGCTGCTGCTGTGGCCGATGAAGTGGCCTTCTCCATCAAAAATTCAATAACAGTAACGAACAGTTAGCCATATCTTGACCCGCAACAATAGTTATGGCTAATAATTTGCATTTTCATAGTTGTGACTATAATTCCCCGCTTCATAATAGTTGTGGCTAATATATTGTATTTACCCTAGAATCAACTTTTGTCCTTGTAGCCTTTGTGATCTTCTTCACCTTCATACTCATCAGAGTTTGCTTTATTATAGCTCCAGGTGTCTGCCATTTCTCTTTCTTAGTTTTCCTTTTGTTAGGATAGTCGGCCCTCAGGTGTCATAGTTTGCCACACTTGTAATATATAAGGGTACCTTTATCGGCATTAAGTTGAATTTAGCTTACTCATACTTCAACACAATTTTTTAAAGAACTTCTTTTCTTAAAGTTTCACCTATCATCACCTTGCATATCAAATTTTGACTTCTTACACCTTTTGAACTTTAAGTAGTCAAGTTATTTGGTTAAGCTATCTGAAAATCTAATTCCTCCTCTAGAGCATCAAAGAGTAGTTACCGACTTGGACATTGCAACCTTTCTTAACTTCTCTCTTCATAAAGCACACTTGAGTATATGTTTTTGTCTCAGCATTGATTTGTAGCTTGGCCATATAAACTTCAACCAGGAATCTATGTCATTTAAGATTTTTCCCGGACCTCTTTGAATGTTGATCCAGACTTTCATATCTTAGTCTTGAATGCATCCCTTTTAGAATGTATAGCTATTCTCATCCATATTTTGTGGTCTTATTGTCAAATGACCTTTAATTTGATTTATTGTTGGCAAGTAGTTGAGCATTTTTATGTAAGAGCTTGATGGGTCCATCTATGTGATCAATCTACTAGTTTGAGACCTACTCTAGTACCAATTGAGAAAAGATCAGGTGCACGGTTAACAGTAAACTATCTTCATTTGGAAAATTGCAAAGAAAAGAAGGAAGAAGATGATAAAGACACGAGAGAGGGTTGATCTATATAGAATAGGGGGTCAAATATACATGGTAGGTAACTAGGACCGTAATAACTCAAGGCCTTTCCAATTCCACTACTAATATACTAAAAATCTTGTTCTTTGATTGGAAACCGATTTGAGGTTAAGCTTCTTTAGTTATGTAAGTGTTTTTTGAAGGAGAAGCAAACATAAAATGAAATTAAAGTAAACTGGACGAGGAAAGACAATAAAGGTAGATGTTGTAAAGGTTAATCTCCCTCTAGAGTTTCCTTAGAAGCATATCAGAATGACAGGTGATACATATATGGTTGAATGAAGGAATTCACACTGGTTTCTTACACCACTCCTGCTAGGTCAAGTGCATTTGAGAAAAGGTGTTGGTCGTAGCAAAGAATTTACCTCGTGTTGCCTTAGAGGCACCCATCTCCTCAACCTCATCCTTCGTGTTCATGCATTGCTTCTCTAGGAGAGAAACAAAATTGGACAGATCATTGGAGGGGTGCACATGAGGTAATTCTAGAAGTGCAAGTGGGAGTGCTGGAAAGCTTGCCTCATTCTCGAAAGGGGAGTCCCGATATGAGGTGACCCCAACTTTTTTTCTCGAACCAAGTCTTCATACATCGTGGAAAGCTGTACAATATAGGCATTAATCATCCACCACAAAGTACAATAACCCCACACTTTAGTTATAATTATGCATTCAATATAGCATAGCAATCAATAAGCACAAACATGGTGTATATCGTGTAAGCGCATCATAAAAGTTGTAACACTATCCTTATCCATATCGAGACATCTGCTACAAAGTTGAGAGAGAAGATGAAGGGTTCAATCTCTACTTGGATATCTTTAACCATCCCTCTAGGATGACATATGGTCTTGTCAGCTTTATAGAGGGTGGATAAAGTGGATCTTCCTTGTTCATAAACTTTTCCATGGCTTACACGAGGTTAGGCATCTCAATGATGGCCTTTAGAATTGGTGGAACAACGTCTTCTCCTCACTGAACCTCTAGGAACTCGTGAAATACTTTTGGAATTTCATATTTAGAGTATATTAGTAGATACACCAAAATTTGGCCAATATGACCGTTTTCTCTCTCAACAGAGATGCTAATTCACCTTATTCTCCAAAATTTTGTGGTTTCGATAGTAGGAGGAGAAAGACCTTTTCTAGGAATATAATCCTTCACCATAAGAGAAAGGATTCATACTCCTTGTTTCTCCAAGGAAGAAGTTTTTTTCATAGGGAGTTATGGAGTGGAAAGACTATCGATCATGGCTATGAGTCATGGGAGACTTCTTAGAGGAATTGGACTGACCAAAATTCTCTTATTTATTTATTTTTTAATTTTAGTTGTGCAAAAGTGAGATTTCTCCCTTTATAGAATTTGTACGCCTAAATGATGTCAAATTCTGCATGAACACTTCATAGACTCCAAAATCAATTGTTGGTTGAGTTCTGACCAATTATCTAGAGCCTCAACATATGACAATTATCTAGGCTGTCATTTTCTACCCATGTACGATTTTTCAGTTTTGCTTCCTTTCCAAAATTTACCCCCTATGCGACTTCTCTGAGATGAAATCTTAGAAAATTCTGATTCTTGACGAGTTGCCTTGAACATTTGACGAGGTTCAAGGGCATAGGCACAAAGAGTTTTTATTTCATCCTTTGGGTTGTTCCCCGTATTGTCTGGTAGAGATCCTTGAGTTCTGATGGCATTGAGTGCGCCAGTAAATAAAAGCTATTCGACTTTCCATGTTTTGCATAATAGCTTGCCACTGATGAACTAGAGCTTCTAGCTTGTCGGTCGACGATATAGCTTGTGAGTGATTAAAATTCCACTCATGTTCTTTGTAAGGAGGCCTTGTGCCAAACCCATGAGGTAATGAGTTTGATTTCTTCATCCCATTTTTATTGGATGGAGCTTTTTCGTCTTAATGTACATCATGAAGGTAGGGAGCATCAGTAGACATGATTTTTGGATAATCAGCTTGCTTATGACCTCCAGGATGTGGCATGGTCCAGATGGTAGTAGAGACTAACTTTTATAGGCATTTGCTTGATAGGCTTCCCCATTATATTGGTAGCTATTTCGATTAAGATCACAATTCTAAGGATAGCTCTGCTCAACACCGTTGACATTATCTTGTTGACATTAACTTATGGTCCCACAATGTCTTCCTTCATGATCATCTTTGCCACACCACTTGCATACAAAAGATTTGTGTTGCTGGTGATTTCCTTGTCATAGAGGCAATAACTCTTTGTTGAAGGCTTGTACCGGACCACCCATGAATGAAATGTGTCAGGAGGTGAGCAATTTAGTCAGCTCTTTGATTTTCCCCATCTGGACAAAGGAAAGTGATGTAAGCATATTGCATTATGCTTAACACCATGGGGTTGTGCAGAATCACAGATTTCCACAAATGTTTTGATATGCTTTACGTGATTTTCGTTTTATCTTTCTTCAAAACGTTTAGCATTTTGAACCATGTGAATCATAGATGTTTATAACTCAAAATTTTGGACCATGATAGGTGAAAAGACGATGTTGGAACTTATGTTCGCGTCTAAAGGCCTGACGTATTCTTACAATGTTCCTGTACCCATGTCCCTTGGAGTGTCAGGTTCAGAGAGTGTCTTCTTCTCTACCTCTGAACACTGATTGAAAAGGGGAGGGGAGGGGGGGTTAAGGGAAAAGGGATTTGCTTTATGTGTTCTCTTTCGTAAGTGGTGGTGACTTCAATTCACAGGAATCACAGGCACCACTTCGATAACACATGATCTTGGCCTTTTCTTTTCTGCTTGATGTTTGCATCTCATTCAAGGTGGTCCACTAAGGTGCTATGGCCTAAAAATGTAGAAAAAAACTACAAAATAGGTATTACAAGTATAAAATCATTATGAGTGGCTACTAAATACAACTTTGGGCAAACTCCAAGCAATTTCAAATCATAATGAACCCATAAATGCTAAAAATATGTACAACATGTCATAGAGGTGATAAATATGTGCATTTTTACGTGTCTTCAAATGCAATCTTCATTTTTGGTTGGATTTGACTGTTGGAACTTATTTAGGTCAGACCACAAGCTAGACATGCTTTCTGTTGAGGCAGTGAGTTAATCCTATTTTTGTCAATAGCTATCAACTAAAAGACCCCTCAGGTTGATCATATCAAATCCCGCACAAGTGATTTGCAAAGGTTCCACTAAGAACAAAGTATTATTAGCAGAGAAAATAAGACGATGAAGGGAAGAAGAAACACATTGATTTTTTGGTAAATCGAGTTCAGCCTATAATTTATGTCTCAACTCAATGATGTCTACCTCTTGAGATCTAGGTTCTTTTGTGTATAATCATTACTTCAAACTTTGAATAGAGTATGGAGAACTATAATCACCTTTGAGTTGTTCTACGCTCAAAACTTTCTTGTCTTGTTTCAGACCTAGTCAAAAGATTAGATAACATATGAAGAACTTGTTAAGAATGAGTTAAATACAATTAATAACTCCGTTAAAAAGACCTCTACTAAGATATGTATGGGCAACAAAACTCGTAATGGTCATTTTGAAATAACCGACCAAATAAATCGTAATAGAACTTTTATTTTTCCTGGATTTTAATCGGCTTGGTTCTTCATTTTAATGCAAGAAGGTTTTAACTCGATTTTAATACGAAACGATTGAACAACAATTTCAATATAAAATACTCTATTACTAACTTTTTCTACAAGACTTCTTGGTTTCACAGTATGGTTTCACCAGTGGCGTCACTTGAGCGTTCCCGGCATCACCCTTGGTATTGGAGGCGAAGCCTCTCCGATGTTGGTAGCAAGAAGCCCCGGTTAGTATGCATGTACCCCCAGTAGTTTAGTAGGCCCTGCTGTCGCTCAAGCGGCACGTGGGGCTGAGGTTCACTAAGCTATCAAATAAAAAAAAAACATTATGGTTTCACAATAATTCATTTTCATCCGTAGAAGATACATCAGGTTTAGGTTTATGTTATTATCTTGATATATTTCCTGCAATTAACAATGCCCTGCCGTGATAGGTTTACATATAAGTCACTGTCTTGATATTATTTTCTTCAATTAACAAAACCTGGCCTAACTTCTTTCATAGAATCAAACCTTGCCTAATTTAAACAGGACAAAACAATTAATCTTTTTTATAAAAAAACCCAAAACCAATCGATCGCGGGCTAAGATCAGGTGACTAGGGGGTCGCTTAATCACATGATTAAGTCAATCTAAGCCTGAAATTTATTAAAATCCAATGTTTCAGATTTATCTAGTTTAATTGAGGGTAAGGTGGTAATTATTTAATTTATTTATTTAACAACTAAATTAAAAAAACAAAAAAAAGGTGCGGCCTCCACCCTCCCCGCCTGCGGCCGCCGTGGGGTTTTTGTGTCCCAGTACGAGAGAGAGAGAGTTTTTCCGACAACGGTGGAACAGTTTTCCGGCGACCAGAGACGGTGGTGGATGATTTTCCGGTAACAGCGGTGTCTCTCTCTCTCCTCTGTTTTCCGACGACGACGGCTAGATCGGCTCTCTCTCTCTCCAAGGTTGCCGCCTCTGTCGCGATCTCCTTTCCCTCTCTCCATCGTCGTCGGCGCCGTCGATATCTCCATTCTTTCTCTCCATCGTCGTCGTCGCTCCCCTCTCTTTCACCGTCGTCGTTCTTCTCTCCTACTACTGCGTTTCTCTCTCTTCCATGGCTGAGAATAGCAACACAGAAAAGGAAGATTGGAGGAAAAAATGAATAAAATTAAATGCACTTTTTTATAATTCCATTATTGCCCCTGTCACTATTTAATTATCCCTTCCCTAAATTTCACCATTAGATCAGTCCATCTAGATTCAAGGGTTAGAAGGAACTTAGTCAAGTGACTAGGCACCCCTAGTCACAGGGTCGGGACGATCGCACTTTGCAACAAATTATTTCCCTTTTAACTCATGGAAAAAATTCCAAAAAACAAAGAGGAATTTTGGTTTTGGATAGAATATGAGTCAGCAATTGGCGACGACCCAATCGTAACGCCCTTTCCTTGCAAAATTGCCCATTTCTCCCCTCTGAGATAATAATGAGATTATTAACCTCAACAAGGAGGGCAAAGTACGCGGCACGCCGATCTACACAAACGCCACATCACCGCCCGTCTCCGCACAGCCATAACAGCAACCGACCGACCCCTTCTTCCCATTTTCTTCGCCTCCTTTCCCTCGCACTCGATTTTATCCAAAACACACTTCAAGATACAAGCTTGGAAGAAGGCCGGAGCAGAAGAGCAATCCTCTAGCTACCCGGATTTTCCTTCCCACAACCCATTTTCCCTTTCGCCGGAGCATGATGACTTGGGATGGCTTCGACGATCCTCAGCCTCATCATCGTCACAATCATCATCAGCCCGACGCCGGCGACGACCACCAGGACGCTTACCTCAATTTCGATTTCTTATCTCTCGTCTCCAAGCCCCAGGTCCTTCATTCAACTTCCCCATTCACCTTTTTTACTTCTGTAGGGGAATTCTAGGGTTGTGCTTTTTGCCGTGTGGGGATGATTTTGGGCATTTTCTGAAATGCAGGACTACTATAAGATACTGGAAGTCGACTACGATGCTTCGGAGGATGCTATTCGTGCCAATTACATACGCCTCGCCCTGGTTTGTGTAATTTCAATTCTACTTCCACAAATTCGCTTCAATTGTACTTCTGGGGACTAGGGTCTTGTAATTTCCAGTCGGTTGCTGGTCTTGAAATGGGGGAGAGTTGGTGGTTGTTGGTATTCTGGTGAATTGATTGAATGCCTTGCTTTTTTCCCGGGTTCCTTCGTTTTTGGGGTTGCAGAAATGGCATCCAGATAAGCAGAAGGACCAGGACGATGCTACTTCTAGATTTCAAGAAATAAATGAGGCTTACCAAGGTTGGTCCTCGTTTCCTTCTTTAATCTACTTGCTTGCATTGCTTTCTGCCCCTCGTCAATTTTGGGTTTCTGCATTTGCGGGTTGTAGAAGTGTCACATGTGCAGGCTTATGGGTTCTCTCCTTTTTGGCTGAATTTTAATTGCAACATTAGAAGGTTCTGTGTGTGCCTGCTGGCACATGGTTTTGAAGAGGAGGCAATTGATGTGGTGCCACGGTAGTGGGTTTTGTGTATAATATGGTGTACATAGTGAATCTTAGACCCCCTGCATCTTTTTTTATTTTCTCCCTTTCTTTGTTGTTTGCCAAGGGAGCACATATGTCTTTGTTCCCTTCAAAGGAGTAGAATTGTCACGCTTACAGATGAACTCCTGGCAAGACCCACCCAGCTAACTAGCTCTTGAACTTTTGGGCTGGTAAATGAGTTTTGACTTTTATTGTTGCAAGAGGAAGGAGTTGCCAAAGTTCTCTAACTACCGGTATCGGTGGACCATGTAAAACGTGGGACAGATTGGATGTTTATATTGGTTTTGGTGAGTAGCAAATGGTACACTTTTTCAGTGTTTTTGCTGTATTGAGGAACTCAATTATTGCCTAAGTTGGAAAAAATAGAAATTTGAATGATGGTGAGAGGCCTAATCTGAATGTCTCAATCATATTAGTTAGAATCTTGGAAATCGGAGTTGCTACTTCCCAGAAGTTGATGGAGCCAAAGGGCTGGGCTCTCATGCAGAATTCAAATGTTACATAACCAATCTGTTTTCTTGGAGGAAAAGCAGTAGTTTTTGACAATACCCAAGGTTAGTATGGTTCTAGGTTTAATAATCTCATGTAGGTGTGAACAAGCTAGTACTGAAGGAGAGGACTGATGGCTCTTAAAACTCATTATCCAAACCAAATATCTGAACACACTTCATAAGTTATAAGTTTGAGAAGCCAATAGAACTATGTATTCACCTAGCCTGTGTGTTCTTACAGAATCTAGTGCCTTTTGACGTAAAGACTTATTGTAAAGTAGAAAATTACCCCTATCAGGAACTTCATTTAAGCTTGAACCTTCCTGCTTCGTCCCGTAACATGTCATATAATGGCTCTACAAACTGCCCATCTTCAGTCCTGCTTGATAATTGGTTCTGACAAGTCTTGCATCCTAGGATGAAAATGACGTCGGGTGTCACTGGTAGTGTTTCATGGATGTTTGAACTAATTTTTCTTGAGAATACAAATTGCTTTGCACAAAAATTACAGTTATCTCTCCTTTTATATATATTATGCATCAAAGGGGCTAAGAGTTTGTGATTAAACATGTACTCCTTCACAATGTTGGTTTTATTGTTTGGTGCCATTTTTGGTTTAGCAAAATTTATGTAACTAATGTTGGAGCTGAATTCGAGTCCGGAATTGAGGATATTGGGTTTCAGGCTTGGGGCTGTGCACAGGTTTTGCCATTGTAAAGAATAAAAGTATAATTTTTGTTTATATATAGAAAGCATAATGTTCTTTGGAACAAAGATTTCTTTAAGTTTCAATCCTACATAAGAATTAGATCACACAACATTAGCAGCAATCTCTACTGGGCAGTTCTTATCTCAAAATTCTGTAAAGAAGCCTATAACAAGGTAATTAAAGAAAACAACTTGAACTAATACCTTGGGTAAAATTATTAGTGCTAAATGACCAGCTAGCTTCTTCGAGAACTATTATAATGAAACAGAAAGAAACTCGTATTCTGGAACTCTTATAATGACAAACCTCAAACAAGTTTTTCTAACGGCAAGTAATTCTGATAAATTGAATTAGAGTTAGTCAAGTCTTTCTAGATATTCTGTTGTTAAATTACCATGAGGTTGAGAAGTCACATAATTTCTGGTTTTCTTAGATCACACGCCTTGTATAGTTCTCACATGATGCATGATACTTCATTGGTTTATTTGTTGACTTCCTTATAACTTATCATTCTTGATTGGCTGTTTGATGTAGTTCTTCCCACTTTCAAGAGAACTTCAGAGCGGATGTGACAAATGAAGCTCTAAGTTGTAGTTGCAGTTGCCTGCTTTGATATGTTGTCAAAAAATACCTGAAAGTATTTTTTGTTTTGTTTTGACCATAATGCTCTTTAAGTGAGAAGTTCTAAGAGGGTTATTATTTTTCCTATATGCCATTGGATGTTTGCTCATGCTAAGAACATGAAAAGAGAACTAAGAAGAGGGAGAGGAGAAGTTATCTGAATCTAGTTGGCATTTCCTGTTAGACTTGTCCATATTTCATCTCCAACCTCAATAGTGTACATTATCATTTATTTGTATTTCCTTGTGTCAAGTTCATTGCCACTTCATCATTCATAACTGTAGTTAAGGATAGTTGCAAAGCGACAGTTCTCATTGCTTAGAAATCAGAAGGAACAGCATTTGTTTTGTATGATTGCTATCTACTTTGGCATTCTGACTTGATAATTTTTTTTATCATCTTGGTCAGAAAAGGTCTATTGTTTCAATTTCTGTCAAATGATGAACGATGGTTGTCTCAGGTTTTGCTAATTGTTGAAGCCGTTGATGTGTTGAAACAGTTTTAAGCGATCCGGAAAGGAGGAGAGAGTATGATACTGTAGGGATGTCACATGTCTACGACTATAACATTATAGTAAGGCTGCTTTTTCTTGACACCGTTTTTCTTCCTGTTATCCCCATTGAACTTCAATGCATTCAATTTCTTATCAAGGTTGTTGGATGCAGGAGTATCTTAACCGTTATAAGGGGCTCATACTAACATGTAACGGTCTCGGGATCAAGCAATCAATTTGGTGATGAGAAAAATGGTATGTGGAAACTGCAATGGACATCCTGTGCTGTCTTCTTCCATACCTAATGCTATGAGGTATTGTTTTTTCGGGTGATCATTGTGGTGGGCAGAAGGGAGAAAGACTAGCAGGGTTTTGGATGTACCAATGTATCAGGGAAATGTAATCCCATTTGTATAGAAAATGCACAAAATAGTTCACCGTCGTAACTTGGTCAATATCAAAGCTCCAGCCTTTTTTTATATTCTTTATTTATGCAGGGTAGTTTCATACACCCTCCCAAGTCCCATTTGCTGCTGCTTCTTTCTAGGTTCAAAGGCCATGATGTGGGAACTTACAAAACATCAATCTAACTGGATGCATTGTTTCTGGAAATGTTTCTTCGGGCACATCCAATAAATTTGTTTCTGGAGATTAGGAGTGTGCAACGGTTTAGTCCGGACCGGATCAAGAACCACGTTCCATTAGTGAAAGACATCTTAGGATCAAGGATTGGACCATAATTGCTTTCGACCAATATGGTAAGGTTTGGTCCGATTCAAATATCAGTTCGGTCTCTAATTTTTTTTAGTAATTGTAAAATTCATGTGGACCAAGAACCAGACTGCATTATATGGTACGATTCGGTCTTGGATTGAACCATTGCACACTCCTACTAGAGATAGATCTGAATGAAACTAAGTGGCCAGTATTCATAGAAAAAGGTGCCCATTGTCTGGGTTAAAACATCTTTAATTAGCAAAACCTGAGACAACCCAGGTTTAAGCAAATAAAACTTAGTTTTTGTTGGCAATATCGAGTTTTAAGCAAATGTTTGTGTCTGGCTGGGGGTAGGAGGCAGGCATACAATACAATGGCCGCCGATCTCTCTTCGATTTTTGTGAAGCTCGCATACAATGGCCGCCGATCGAGGAGCCGGTTGTAGAAGTCGTGGTCGACTTGGAGGGAGAAGGTAATCAACCCAGTCCCAATCTAGATTCTTCGACCTTTCTCTAGACTTCATTGGCTTTGATCCTAGTGTGTCGTCGTTGGACGATGGGATACCCGAGACTCCGTCGTGTGTAGCAATTTGTTGCGGAGTTGGTTCGACGATGAGGTGCGAGGGGAAGGATCCTACGGGGGAAGGGAACTCTAGTGCTCAATGTAGCAGAGCGCAAGGAGCACTCATTGTTCGGGTTGGTGTTGGGGTTCCCGGAGCAGTTCGATAGAAATTCCGAAGACAGAGTCTAAGGGTGACCATGAATGAGGTTGTTCGCGTGACAGCAGAGGCGGAGCTAGGATTTGACGTTTGGGAGGCCGGAATTTCATTAGTATAATATTGTGAAAAGTCTAAAATTTTTAATAAATAAATTATTTAAAAATTATAGTATAATAATCGTATAAACATTCTTTGAGATGACAAAAATCATTTTTGTTTATATTATAATTTTTATTTGTATATTATAATAGAAAAAAATTTAATAATTGCATAAAGTATTTTTTGAAATGATTAAAATCACTCAAAATAGAAGTTAAACTATCAATTTTTTCACATTAGGTTTAACATGAAATAGAAATTTATAAAAGAAAGGCAACAATGAATTGTGTAGCAAATTCTATTTTTTTATAACTGAAAATAAATGTATGCCAAATTAGAAATCAAATATAATAAAAATACCAACCTGTAAGAAGAAAATGTTAAATAAAATGTTTAATGAGATGGAACTACAAAAATGTAATGGAAAATGTTATATAAAAAAATAAATGAAATCAAAATACAAAACGGTAAATCAAGTAGAAATTTAAAGAAGCAAAACTACAGTACAGTAATGTCAGATGTAGGTGGGAATCGAACCTAGAATCACAAGGTTATTAAAAATGCCCTGAACCGTTAGGCTAAGTTGAATAACAGACCATTTATTTTCACTCTCAATGAATTTATACTAACATTGTTTTCAATACATAAAATACCCGACCATTTATACGTTACTTTCGAAATTCTGGGGGGGGGGGGGGGCCCTCCCGAAGACCAAGGTAGCTCCGCCCCTGCGTGACAGAGATGGTCAACCAACCATGTATGGGCGGTGTGGGTGCCCAGGATTTTGTTTTCCCCTGATGATGACGTGTCCAATAATGACAATCTTGTGCTTGGGCCAGATCACAAGTTGACTTTGTACCATGAGGATGTTGTGGCGTATAAGAGAAACTTTGCAAGGGTTTTGGAAGGGTTGATCCTCTGTCTCATTCGAGGTCACCCTGTTTCATTATATAGCTCAGTAGAAAACAAAGACAAAATGGATTACAGAGCACTGCCACTTGGCTGCTTTCCTTTTGTCCATTTTAAAGTTTAAACAGTAATTAGAAACGGCTAACTGCCTCTTACACACAACTAATATAAAACGGAGAACTTTTACAATGCTATATAGTATTGGTGCTATAGGATTTTGCCTTTATGTTACAACTTAAAATTGTACATTTACGTTATGGTACAACTTCAGATTGTACCTATACTTTTTGTACAAATTCTTTTATGGTACAACTTGAACTTGTACTTTTATGTGATGGTACAACTTCAAGTTGTAAAGTTGTACCATAACATAATGGTACAAATTGTTTTATGGTACAACCTAAACTTATACATTTAATGTTATGGTACAACTTTAAGTTGTACATTAAAGCACCAATACTATATAGCATAGTAAAAGTGCTCATATAAAACGACGTAGTAATATTAAAACTATCCTGAAACTCCAATGACAGCTGAAAACGTTTCTTCTTATTCACACGTTTCGACCTGCTTCTTCTCCTTCGTTCCTTCTGCAATCTGGATTTCCATTCTGTCAGCCTCCCTTAAGTTGTGGCAGTCACTTTGACTCCCAACTTGATCAGTAAGTTCTGCATACGTGCTCTATCCAATCCTTTTGTGAACAGGTCTGCCAATTGATTGAATGTACTTACATGATGTAGCTTGATCAATCCAGTCTTGATGCGTTCCCTGGTCACATGCATATCTATTTCAATATGCTTTGTTCTCTCGTGGAATACTGGATTCTCTGCTATATGTATTGCAGACCTGTTATCACAATAGATTGAAATAGGTAAAGGGACTTTCACACTTAACTCAGCCAGTAATCACTTCAACCACTCGAATTCACAAACCAAAAGAGCCAAGGCCCTGTACTCAGCCTCTGATGAAGATCTGGACACTGTGGTCTGCTTTTTACCTTTCCAGGTCAACAAAGAACTCCCTAGGAAGGTGCAGTACCCTGTTGTTGATCTTCTAGTGTCTGGACAACTAGCCCAATCAGAGTCTGTAAATCCCACTAGCTTCAGGTCTGCATTGCTGCTGAAATGTATGCCTTGTCCAGGGTTGTTCTTCAAGTACCTCAACACCCTGTAGGATGCTTGTAAATGATCACTACATGGCTGTTTTTGGAACTGACATAATTGCTGGACAATGTATGTCAGGTCGGGTCTGGTAATTGTTACATAATGTAACCTACCAATCAATCTTCTATACACCTCTCCATCCTCCAGTGGTGTTCCTTGGTTAGCAGCAAGCTTCACCTTAGGATTTGATGGTGTGATGCACCCTTTGGCTTCCAAATATCCAGTATCTTTTAGCAATTCTAGTGCATACTTCCTTTGACAAACACTGATTCCATCTGCAGTCCTGTTTACCTCCATACCCAGGAAGTATTGTAGAGGTCCCAACAGCTTTACCTTGAACTCCTTGCTCAAAGCCTTTTTTTATCTATTCTATGTCCTTTGGTGCATCCCCACCAATGATTATATCATCTACATAAACCAATAACACCACAATTCTGCCATGTATCCATTTGGTGAAGAGAGAGTAATCTGAAGCTGATTGGGAAAAAACATTTTTCAGTAGAAACCCTGTTAGTCTTGCAAACCACTGACTTGAGGCTTGCTTAAGGCCATACAGTGATTTCTTAAGCCTGCAAGCCATTCCCTTTGGATCAACACCCTGCAGATAAAGTCCCAGAGGTATTTTCATATACACCTCTTCTTCCAAATCTCCATGGAGAAATGCATTTGAAACATCTAGCTGTTCCAAAGTCCAGTTCTTTACAGATGCAACTGCAAGAGTGCTTTTAATGAGTTGATTTTAGCTACTGGTAAAAAGGTGTCTAGGAAATCAATTCCATAGACTTGAGTATATCCTTTTGCAACCAGTCTAGCCTTAAACCTCTCTATAGTACCATCTGCTCTCCTTTTAATTTTAAACACCCACTTATACCCAATGGCCTTCTTGCCATCTGGTAACTTCACTATATCCCACATTTGGTTTTGCTCTAAGGCACCAAGTTCCTCCTACACTGCCCTGTTCCATACATCAGACTGCATTGCTTCATAATATGTGGATGGTTCAATCTGAGAAATGACACTTAGAGCAAATGCCCTGTCAGCAACATTCAAGTGGTCCAAGTCAAGATATGTAGGGTGTTTAGATGCTGCTGCACATGATCCAAAGGCTCCAAAACAGAGATTAGGATCCAGTTCACAATTTTCAAACCTGGCAGGTGACTTATGAGATCTCTGTGGCCTTACTGGAGGAGGTTCATAGTCCTATTGAGGTTCTAATTCTGTATCCATCTCATGGTGCTCTGGACTATAGGGTGAATCAGAAGCCATGGTGTCATTATCCTCATCAGCCTCAGCTGCATCTGGAATATGTATGGACTGGCCCCCATCAGCAGAGGGTGAGACAGGGGGTGAAGAAGGAATCAATAGAGCTGGAGTAGTAAAAAGAGGGGAAGTAGATGAAGGTGGTGGATCAGAAGTGGAAGGAGAGGCAGCTTCTTGTGATGGGGAGGGTGAATCATGTTGATAAACCGTTAATTGCACATGTTTTTGCCCCTATTCTGGAGCCGTTTGAGGTGTTGATTCTCGTGTTTTAGGCCGATTTCACGCTAGGTTGTGCTTGTTTGTGATATTTCAGGTCCTAGTACGTGAATGAAGGTTTGGGAGCGAGTTCGGGGTCGATTGGACGAAGATCAGACGTGAGGCGAGTCGCTAAGGAAGCCACACGGGCACACACAAAACCCACACGGCCGTGCAAGTAACCAATGTGGCCGTGTGGGATTGTGCGAGCCTTCACACGGGCATGAATAAATCTCACACGGCCATGTGAAGGAGCAATGTGGCCGTGTGGGATATTGCGAGGCTTCACACGGGCAGATTGGGTGAGCTACACGACCGTGTGTGCCTGGCCGTGTAGGTAGCCTGAAGTGCAATTATTGGAAACGCCGCGTTTTGACTTCACACGGGCAACTGGGTATGCCACACGGCCGTGTGGCCTGCCCGTGTGATCGGGATTTTCTGGTTTTTACCCAATTTCGGGCCATAAGTGAGGGAATCAATTTTTCAGAGCAAAAACAGAGCCCTAGAGAGAGAAAGTACGAAGAACACATCCTAGAAGCAATCTTGGAGCTGGGTTTCATCAAATCGAGCTTGGAGATCGTCATAGGAGTGGAAATCATCATCCTAGAGCAGATTCTTCCCATTGTTATAAGTATGACTGCTTTGTATTCTGTTTTCCTCTCTCTCTCTATGGAGTAGAACCCTTCTCTCACTTGGGTATGAAGAAACCTAGTTCCATGTGTTAGGGATTTGATTGTAATGACTTGGGATGATTATACTGTTTGGTTTTAATCGAATGATGCATGTTTTATTGAATTGATTGAAGTCTGATAAGCTTTTCTTGATTTCTGCTGCAACCTGAGATAGATAGAATCTGATTAGGTTGTTAGAGCTTCTTCATTCGGTAGTAGGAGATTGGCTATACGAGAGTTAGCCAGTTTACTGCTTTGTACTGGAATCCAATTCCAGTAGTGGAGTTCTGTGCTTATTGCTTCAGCTTTCTATCCCGGTGAAGACTAGTCGTCTGCCGGGTAGTTAGACTGAGAGGGCTTGGTCAGCTTAAGAGATTCCAAGCTACTGTCGGATCTTCCGCAGTCTAATCAACAGTAAATCAACCCAGGGTAATTGCAATTGAGACCTAACTAAGGAGCTAGGGGGACTCATTCCCGAGTGACTCTTCTTTGCTTGAGAAAACCGTACCAATTCCTGCTTTCTTATTGCTTTTGCTTAAAACAACAATCACTTGACTTAGTTGGCTAGATAATAGATAATCACGGAGTAAGCAGTAGATCTAGACCCCGGGTTGATAATAGAACTTGCCACTTTACTGCATTCCCGGACTGCGATTACACTTGGTCGCAGTTTGGTGTTGTGTTTTGGCGTGTCACATGTCTAAAGGGAAGAATAGATTCATGAAACACAACATCCCTTGATACAAAAACCTGATTTGTTTGAATATCAGGTAGTTTGTAGCCTTTTAAACCAGCAGGGATACCTAGTAAGACACATTGTCTGGCTCTAGCATCAAATTTAGTCCTGCCAGCAGCCACTGTACTTGCATATACTAAACAACCAAATACCCTTAGATGCCCTAAGAAAGGAGCTTTCTTATACAGAGCTTCATAGGGTGATATGTTCTGCATAATAGGTGTGGGAAGCCTGTTAATGAGGTAAACAGCATGAAGAATGCAGTCACTCCAATACAACAGTGGTATACCAGATTGAAACCTTAATGATCTGGCAACATTCAAGATATGCTGATGCTTGCGTTCCACCCTAGCATTCTGCTCTAGGGTGTAAACACAGGACATCTGATGTTCTTTTCCTTTTGGCCATATAGTAATCACACATGTCAAACTCTTTACCTTGATCACTTCTCACTACCTTCACTGTTGTTCCAAACTGGTTCTTAACCAGTTGCAGAACCCTTTAAACAGATCTCTTGCCTCACTTTTATGTTTCATCAGGTAAACCCACACAACACGTGTACAATCATCAACCACAGTTAGGAAATAGACATAACCATCATAGGAAACAACAGACAATGGACCCCAAATGTCAATGTGAATTAACTGGAAAGGTTCTGTTGCATGACTGGTACTAAGAGGAAATGGTTGTCTCTTGTGTTTAGATAGATGACAGACAATACAATGTTCTGATTTGGAAATAGAAACAGTAGAATCTAGATTGTGCAACAAAGTTTTCCTATCACTACTAGGATGTCCTAATCTCCAATGCCATAGGTCAACTTGATGAGGTTGGAAGTTGTAGACACTGGAAGCTTGAGGGAAATGGACTGGATGTGTAGTAGAATGGTTGACAAGACTGAGTTGATAGAGGCCTCTAGATTCTCTTGCTAAACCAATCGTCGTCTTGTTTAGTAGGTCCTGAATTTGGCAAAGATCAGAGTGGAAGTGTAAGGCTAGAGGAAGATCATGAGTAAGCCTACTGACAGAAACTAGATTGAAAGAAAAGCTGGGAACTAGGAGTACATTATACAAATGTAGTCCTGTTGGAAGTCTAACAGTGCCTATGTGTGAGACTGAAACTTTAGTTGTGTTTGGAAGATGCACATAAGTGTCCTGAACTTTCTTATGATCAACAAATAAAGCTAAAGAACAGGCTATGTGGTCTGAGGCACCTGTATCTAGGATCCAGAAAGTTGCTTTGTTGTTTCTATCTAGGTTTGATAAGGAAGAAAGGACATATTTACCTGAATAGTTGGGAAAGGGTGGTAAATATTGTGACGCAGAGAAAGCTTGGTGTCGAATGGAAGGGGAACTAGGAGGGGAAGGTGATGAATTTGGTACAAAAGGAGCACCAGCCTGCAACATGTACCTCAGTTTTGTCATTTCCTCAAGTGTAAATCCAAGTGTAGTTCGACTTACAGTGCTAGTTTCAGTGCTGTAATTAGCTTCAGCTTGACTCTCACTTCCACTTGAACTCCCTTGAGAAACTGATCCAGCAAACCTTTGGTTTCCAGACTATGGTTTTCCTTCTTTCTCAGCATCATCTTTCTTCTTTTTCAATCTCCAGCATTCTTCTATGTAATGGTTATTGCGTTTGCAGAACCTACAGAACTTCTTCCCTTGTCCCTGGTCTCCCACTTCATTGTCACGGGTTCCTTCTCCTCCAACTGCTAGAGCAACAGACTGCCCCTTTTTAGTTCCACCACGTGCTTTCAGTTCTTGCTCATACTGCAATAAATCATCAACAGCTATGGTGACTGTTGGCAGTGGTTTTAGCATTAGGAGCTGCTTCTTGATGATCTCATAATCTGGGTTTAGACCCCTGAGAGAACGAATCAAGTAATCTGTCTCTTGCTTCCTCTCAAATGCTTCTACTGCAGTGCAGGGATTGGTATTTCCTGGAAGACAGTTGCAGGCTACAATTGGGTTGTATTCAGTATACTCATCCCACAACCCCTTGATTTGGGTATAGTACTGGGTGATGGTAAGATTGCCCTGTTTGCACTTATGAATCTCGTCTTTCAGGTTAATCATTCTATTAGCACTCAACTGACCAAATCGTCTCTTAAGTTCATCCCATAGAACCTTAGCATTGTCCTGCCTCATAACTGAACGCCTAATATCTTTGTTCACAGAGTTCAAAATCCAGGTGAGAACCACTGTGTTGCATCCATCCCACAAATGGAATTGTGGATCTGTAATTGCTGGTCTGGGTAAAGACCCATCCACAAAACCCATTTTGTGCTTCGTTTTCAGAACATTTAACACAGATCTACTCCACATGCTGTAATTATTCCCATCCATCAACTCAGAAACTATGGGTAAGCTCAGATTCTCGTTTGGGTTTAGGTAGAGAGGATTACCAAACATGATGACCTCAGGATTGGCCTGGCTTGTGTTGCCTTCACTTCCAAAAGACCCAAACTGCATATTACGCGGATCTGTGACTCGTGCTCCGCTGCCGGAGGTTGGCGGAGTGTTGGGTTGCGGCGTGCCTGACATTGTGGTGTCCCTTCAGAACGGTCGCTCTGATACCATAAGAGAAACTTTGCAAGGGTCTTGGAAGGTTTGATCCTCTGTCTCATTCGAGGTCACCCTGTTTCATTATATAGCTCAGCAGAAAACAAAGACAAAATGAATTACAGAGCACTGCCACTTGGCTGCTTTCCATTTGTCCATTTTAAAGTTTAAACAGTAATTAGAAACGGCTAACTGCCTCTTACACACAACTAATATAAAACGACGTAGTAATATTAAAACTCCCCTGAAACTCCAATGACAGCTGAAAATGTTTCTTCTTCTTCACACGTTTCGACCTGCTTCTTCTCCTTTGTTCCTTCTTCTCCTTCAATCCTTCTGCAATCTGGATTTCCATTATGTCATCGTATGTGCATGGTTTGCCCCCTTTCTGGCAATACACCTCTCGCTCTGAGTGCATTCGAGTGTGGAATTACCTCTAGGGTGGTTCAACGTTTATACCGAACAAATATTGGAGGATGAGGCTTAAATTCCCACTCGATCCGCTTTTGTGTCGGCTGCTTCGATCGGGTGGTAAAGTGCTCATTGGGACAGCTATCCCCTAATTACATAATTTTACCTATTTTCCCCCTCTATTCTTCTCTACTTCTCCTTCCTTCATCAGCTCACCTTGCGATTAGAAATATCCTTGAATGCTTTATGTTTCACAAGCAGTGCAGTCAAAAGCGCGCTTTAAAGCGTAAAAGCGTACGTTTTTTTTATCGTATCTAGGGCATTAAAACGATTTAGTTTCCACCTAAAATCGTTTTGTACTCAAAATCGGTCAAAAGCGTAAGTAAAATCGTTAAAATCGCAAAAAACTGATAAAAACGCGTTTTGTAACGCTTTTGTACGATTCCAAGTAATGGGGGAACACGGTCCAATTTCATTTCAGTGACGCCGTTTTAACAGTAAAATAAAGAAAGGGGTGATGTCGAGCTGCTCAGTCAACTGAGCATCTCCCCCAATTCGAAATTCCCTAATTGGAGAACCAACAAATTGTTTGCACGAAGCATCCACCGAATGCAAGCCCACAACCATCGGATGAGGGACGACCAGCCTCCACCGTCGCCAGCTATGACACGTGGCCGCAACCGTCACCACTCGCAACCTCCGAGACTCGACCATCGCTGTTCATCCCAGCACAAGCTGCCTCTACCATCGCCGCTCATTGTTGCCACCGAAATTGCTCCACTGATACGACCTTCCAGCTCCAACCAGGAGACCGTGTGAGTTGATGAATCAAGGGAGGAGTTCCATGCGACGACAGTGGTGAAATCTGGGCAGAAGAGATATGCTAGATTGGGAGAGTGTTGGTTGAGAAAGAATAATTTTTTTAATCGAATGTTGATATAATGAGATGGTTGATGCATTATTGAGTGGTGAAGGGATAAAGATTGGAGAAACGAAGAGAAGATGAAATGAAGTAGGGATTAGGATTGAAGTCCGAAAGGGTTAGTGGTACCGGGGGATTATTTTATTTTATTGTCTTTTGTTATGAAAACGTTAAAATTTAATCGTAGTTATTTTTGAAATTTTAATTGGTGAGTTGGCACCAAGGTGAAAATGAAATATAGTTATTCGTATCAACTTAATGGGGTTAATTGCATGGTTGGTCACTGAGATTAAAAAAAACGTTCATGTTTGGTCACTCAAAATATTTAAATCCATTTTTGGTCATTAACTTTACAAAAACCGTTCATTTATGGTCACTCTCCATAGGTGCCGTCCAACGTCGTTAACGGCGTCCGTTAAGTGATGACGTGGCTGACAAATTCGCCTAATCAGCACCTTTTAACCCGAAAATTGACTGACCCGACCCTCCACGTCATTTAAACCCTCCATGTCAGCTAAATCTAACCAAACCAGACCCGACCCAACCCACCAACCCATCTATCTTAATGAAAACAGAGCATCTACTCGTCGGCGGCAGCATGTTGTGGATGTTGGGCATCACGCCGCTGTTAGCGATGGTGACGGATCACTCCTTCTCTTAAAAATAAAACAAAAAATTGATAAAGACTGAATCACTCCTCTGCTTAATTCCAGCTCTCCTTTCCTCCATCGGGCAGAGGTTTTCTGTGTTCGAGGCAAAATCGTAGGATTTTGGGAGACCGAATCGCACCCAAAATTCCAAATTCTCGAATTCCCATCTCAACTTCTCCGATGGTCGGAAGAGGAAAAGCGTTTGGCTCCGTCAAGGACAAGAAGAGCACCACCAGAAGCACCAAAGCCGGCCTGCAGTTCCTTGTCGGCCACGTCGCTTGCTTCTGGAAGACCGGCAAGTACGTTGAGCGCGTTGGTGCCGGAGCTCACGTCTACCTTGCCGCCGTCCTCGAGTACCTCGCTGCCGAGGTAATTTCCCCACTCGCTTCTCTTCTCAATTCGAATCACTGAGAAATCTCAGATCTAGAACCTAACCGTCGTTGCCCAACATCCACAACATGCTGCCGCCGACGAGTAGATGCTCTGTTTTCATTAAGATAGAAGGGTTGGTGGGTTGGGTCGGGTCGGGTCTGGTTTGGTTAGGTTTAGCTGACATGGAGGGTTTAAATGACGTGGCGGGTTGGGTCAGCCGATTTTCGGGTTAAAAGGTGTTGATTAGGCGAATCCGTCAGCCACGTCATCTTGGACCACAACCAGGCAGGAAGGAACCCTCATTGTATCGCTCCTGTATCTTCCAAAAGGAAAAAGATCTCTGAGAGCTCTTTCTTGGATCCGAAAGATAGTACTTGGGTTCTCCCAAGTTAAGTGGAAGAGCGTCATACTCAATCAACCTCTTCGGCTCGTCCGCCCCCTTTTTGCCCGGCCTCCTTTCTGGAGTGCCACTCTATCCGGTATTGCATCCTTTGATATGTCAGGGTTGATATTAGCACTTTTTTGTCCGAGGATAGAAATGAGACTGCTCACCATTCCATCTCCATCCGGCTAGCCTGACTAAGCTAAGCGTCGAAGTAAAATTCCTTGTCTTCCTCTTGGTAGCTATCTCATATTTGTGTCAAAGAGCTGAGATTCTCAAGCTCTATGCCTCTTCGATACTATGCATGCCTGCTTCTCATCTGTCAATTGCTTATCCTCAGACCAGACTGAAGTGGGGCATTTTTACAAAAGATCACTGTTGTAGCTTCGATGAGTTGTAGGGAACTCCGTGTGGGTAGCATCCACACCCAAAGGCGCGTAGAGTATGGTAGTTGGGTGCTTGTCTATCTTCTACGCGCAGGCATACCCTTTCTTTCTTCTAGCTAGGGTAGAGACTAAGATTTATATTAGTATACCGAACCCCCCTTACTCAATAGCCCCTCGTATAGCAAATTGATTCAGTAAGGTACATTCCTTTTGTCTCGGGTTTCAACTACTTTCGCTTAACGGACGCCGTTAACGGCAGCTAACGGAGAGTGACCATAAATGAACGATTTTTGTAAAGTTAATGACCAAAAATGGATTTAAATATTTCGAGTGACCAAACATGAGCGTTTTTTGTAATCTCAGTGACCAACCATGCAATTAACTTATATATGAACTGCAAGTATTTATTCATTTATCTGAACTTTGTCCACTCATATTTTACATAGTACATGTCGTATTTAATTGATTTTAAGCTATTTTACAGGATGCATTAATAACTTACGCTTTTACTGATTCTACATTTTACGATTTTACCCCTTTACCTTTTTTAGGTAGAATCGCGCTTTTAACTGCATTGTTCACAAGTACCCATGAATTGGAAACGAAAGCTCGCCAAAATGAAAAGGGTTATAGGTATAAAATGCCCCTCTACTATGTCATTTTATCAAACATGCCCCTCTATTATTTTTTACATCAAACATGCCCCTATACTTTGGAAAAATTATCTAACATGCCCTTGTGTTAAAATTTCCATTGAAAAATCGTCAATCATGGTTGAACCAAGATCTAGAGAACCCGACATCGGCAAATGGGAGGGGAAATATAACTTTTTCCCCCTATTTTTTAGTTCTAGGTCTCGTCAAGTGAAATTATTAGAATTATTTGGCTATAAAAAGAACCAAAAAAATTCTAAAGTGAAATTATCAAGGATATTTATTCCATTTGTGTCTCCCAAACCAAAGTTCGACCGTGGTTAAAAGTTTTTCGAATGAAAATTTTAACAAAAGGGTATGTTTGATAATTTTTCCAAAGTACAGAGGTTTGTTTGATGTAAAAAATAATAAAAGGGCATGTTTGATAACGATATAGTAGAGGAACATATTATACCTATAACCAAATGAAAACTCACTTCCTCCAAACATCAATTAATTCTGATCAAGTTGAAAATATGCACATTAAAGTATCAATGGGAAAATGCAGAGGCCCTGTCGGACTTCAACTTCTATTGGGAAAGAAAACAAATTATTTATGGGTAATTTTTGGCTTGGGGAAAAAAACTGGATTCATCCTTTCATTTCTCGTGGATATACCCAACGTAAAAATATTTTTTATTACACAAAAAAATGCACACGAACCACCATCGGCTCCAACAATGCATTATTCCACCCGGGCCCGCGATCGCGTCCGGTTCCCGGCAGTGAATTATTGCAACCGGGCTCAGCTCCCACCCATGAAATACTTGTTCGAATCTCGCCTGTGAAATATTTCATCCTCCTCACGAAGCATTATTCCAAACGGGCCCACTATAGCACCTATCTGCCTGGCTCCTGGCTCGCTATCGCGCCCAACACTAGGAGTGAACAAACACACCCCATCAAACCGACCCAACCATCCAACCCGACCCAATTCACCGTATTTATCGTTAAAACTAAGCTTTATGGTTGGATGAAGATTTTCTTTTGTACAACCCGCCTCTTTTGCGCTGGGTGTAGATTTTGGATTACACAACCCATAGAACCTGACGCAACCCGTGTTTCAACTATTGGTACGAGTTCGTATCCCAAAAATATTTATGTCATATATAAGCATATTTATGAGAAAATTAAGATATTTCGCCATGTTCTTCTCTCATGGTCACCCGAATCTAATGCATTATTTGGCTTAAAGTTTAGACGTAGATTTAATATTGCTATGATTCACGTAATCTAAATTCTTGTGTACAATTTTAATAGAATAACATACTATGGATGCGTTTGTTTATAACCTCTTTAGCCTATTTCGACAAATGTCGTGAAAAAAACTAGACAAATGTTGAAGTAAATCACATTGTATTAAAATTCAAACAACATATGGGCATTTTGATACCTTTCACTTTGGTTTATTCATTTGAAACTTTAATTAGTTATATAATATTTTTATGGTGTAGAATAATTATATTTGTTGTGTTGGGCTTGGTTTTTACATAAAAATATCATCAACCCGACCCAACTCAATTAGAAACAAACCGTAGGGTTTTAATTTTTTTTAGTGGGTTTGGATTTAATATTTCCCAAACCGTATTGCATTAGATCGGGTGATTAAAATGGCTAAACAGGGACCACCCAACCCATGTACACCCCTACCTGACACCTCGCTTTGGCCGGTGAACTATTTCATCCGACACCCAGACTTCTCCTTGCGCACAACTCCCGGCGCTCGCTAACGCCCAACAACACAAAATCATACTTGGGCTAACGATTGGCTGGTATCTTGGCTCCTAATGCATGCCGGTGCACTATTGCGCCCGGTCCACCACCGACCCCGACAACCCATGCCCGCCAATAAAAAGTCATACATGGACCTCACGATTGCGCCGATAGCTAGGTTCCTCTTTGCACTTGGCTCCTGACCCTCGGCGGTGTACTACTGTGCCCGTGTACATCATCGCGCCAGTGACAGAGCTCCCTTTCGTGCCCAACGATATTTGCCCGTCAGAGTAACATCGTACCCGACACCCATGTACCACTGCCCGCCATCCATCGCGAGCCACCTTGAGCTCACTACTATGATTGTTATGCCCGACGCCTAGATCCATTGTGGCGCCCGTTACCTGGTGCTCAGATCCACTGGTTTTGAATTTTCATGTTTGGCATGCACTCTCCATGACGAGCTTCCATGTGGCAAAGGGGTGATTGACAAGTATACAAACACGTGGTGGGCGTGGGCAAACTCGATGACACATTTCTCGAATTTTTAATGCATAGAAAAGTAAATATGATGTGGGTTGAGGTGTCCTAATTCAAATTACTAATCTACCAATACAAGAAAGAAAATAAACAATACAAGAAAGCAAACAAAGCAAGTATAAGGATTGTTTAGGTAGTGTTCTCTAGATGATCATGCATACTAACTCAATAGTGAGATGCTTCTATACATCATCTATAATGATGCCCTATCCATTCCACTAAGGTTATTCCCTATCTGTGCATGTGCCTCTTGTGGTAGGAATTTGATTACTAATGTGTGCTTTCGCTTCATGCCATCACCTAATCAATGAAGAACAAGAAAGTTAGGATAGTGCATGATTAGTGTGGGCCTCTTGAGCCATATTCGATGGTCTATAGCATCGATGATCTATGAATCAAGCATTGATACTACTTAAGGTATAGATGGTTTGGTCATTCCACCTATACTTGTATAACATCAACAAGGTATCACTAGACGGTAATTTCTTAACAACCTCGATGATACTAACCACAATAATATAACGGCTTACAATAAGGGTCACACATATAGAATACTAAAGCAAACAGTGATATTAGCATAAAAAATCTCAAGCAATAGATGATAGAAGCATAAATCAACTCAAGCATCAATGGTAAAAGCATTGAACACAATAGACATCTCATTGAATCATAGAAAGTAATACATAAAGCATCATAGAGTCACATCCCTAAACAATTTCGAGCTAGCTATCCATAGCAGAATATGAAGACATCACCAATGATATAGGCATCAGTGGTGACAAATCACCGTCGAGCTCTAGCAGGGCTTTGCTTCCTCTCTGTGGATTTCTAACTCGTGGCCCTGGGGCAAAGTGCTGGTAAAAGGTGTGTAAAGCTCTAGCCTAGCCTCCTATTTATACTAGTTACAGAGTGGGATTTTTATTATTCCTTTTCATCCAAAGTCGGCCAAAACCTCCCTTGTACGACTTGAACTTGGATTCCTTCGACTTGTGGGCGAAGTAGGCTAGTTCGAGAAGCTTCTGGAAAGCTAGGGTGTGAGCGTCGGGTTGAACCGCCGCTGGGTCGCCGCTTTGTTTGTTCGTGCAATGGGTTGCTTGTGGGCCAAGTAACTCCTCATCCAATTGGTAAAGCGACGGCTAGTAAAAAATCTCTCGTGAGCCTTTCAAAGTCGGGTCTACTACACTACCAGATCTGCTTGTTTTGGCCATAAAGTGAGCATCCGATGTCCAAATCCATATTTATTTGAGCCCGTGATATTGAAATCTCGTCTTCCTTCTAATCCATTAGGTCCCTTGGTGATCCATATTCGTCTTGAGTGCATTATATCTTTGAAAAGCACAAAATAACAACTAGTGCATTAAAAATCGCGAATTTACGTATAAACGTTTTAGTTATCTACAAGCGTCAAAACGCAAGCTTTTAAGTTTTAAAGCGTAGATTTTGATTAAACTTTTATGTGAAAAACGCGATTCAAGTGTTTGAGCGACCTAGAAGTGTAAAACCGTAAGCTTTTAAGATATAAAACTCGATTTTACTATATCGACAACTACAAAAGGCGTAAAATAGTACAAAACACACTCAAGATCTATCATAAGCACATTATTTAAATTGTTATGGATTCCATATGAAATATAAATAGAACCATTAAAGATGCATGGGTAAAAAGCAAAAATGCATCAAATATAAGAGTGCTAAACAGTCCTCACACAATTTTTTTTATCGGTGCAAAATGCTTATTTAGATTTTTTTTTTTTTTTTGGAGTGATAGCACAATAGTTCTTGTTTGTTACTCATCATTAACTTTGTAGATGAAAATTGCAATGATACAACTGAGATTGGATTTGTATGGTTTATTTGTAATCAAAATTTTACTTATCTAATTTATTTGCAACAAAAGTAATATTAGATGGTTATTGATTAGTAATATAAATTATACTTAAGTATATGTGGTGTATTTAACTAACCCTATAAACTATAAAGAGAGAATATTCATCCAGCGGTAAGGCAGTCGCTGCTCAGTCTTATTCTTCCATCTCCGTCTTCCCTTTCTGGTTTTTTCTCGGAAACCAAACACTCCCGTCGCCCGCCACCCTAACTGCAATCCAATAGCCTCCGAAAAAATGACAGCAGCGGCGCCCATAGTTCCCGACAACCTCACCAGAGACCAGTACGTTTACCTGGCCAAGCTCGCCGAGCAAGCGGAGCGCTATGAAGAAATGGTCCAGTTCATGGAGAAGCTCGTTCTCGCTTCTACTCCCGCGGCGGAGCTCACTGTCGAGGAGCGGAACCTACTCTCCGTCGCCTACAAGAACGTCATCGGCTCTCTTCGCGCGGCCTGGAGAATCGTCTCCTCGATCGAGCAGAAGGAGGAAGGCAGGAAGAACGAGGAGCATGTGGTGCTCGTCAAGGATTACAGATCTAAGGTGGAGAACGAGCTCTCCGATGTCTGCGCTAGCATTTTGAACTTGCTTGACTCGAATCTGGTGCCATCCGCTGCTTCCAGTGAATCCAAGGTGTTTTACTTGAAGATGAAGGGAGATTACCATAGGTATATGGCCGAGTTCAAGGTTGGTGATGAGAGGAAGACGGCTGCTGAAGATACTATGCTTGCTTATAAGGCTGCTCAGGTAAGGAAGCTCTCTGTTTCACGATTGGACTTCGATTCAATTGAATTCGATTGAAGTTCGATGTAGATGGAGGAGAAATTGAAAACTTAGGGTTTTGCTGTTGAATGTTAATTGGTAAAGTTAATTTGGGGAATATTGAGATTACTCTTTGAAATATTGTTAAAAAGGATATTGCTGCTGCGGATCTTGCCCCGACACATCCTATTAGGTTGGGCCTGGCACTCAATTTCTCTGTGTTCTACTTCGAGATCCTCAACCAGTCTGACAAAGCTTGCAGTATGGCTAAACAGGTGAGCTAACGATTACTCTTACAGTAAAATTCTCAGTACTTGAAAGTGTATGGATGGTCGATTAACCTTATTTCCAAATCTATGTTTGCTCTCTAGAGGCTAAGAGGTATATAATTCTTTATCCTAGTAAGATATTATATTACATTTGCACGCGGATTACTACTTCCCATTATTGTTTTGTGTGAACTGATATCTTAGTTCTCACTTTATTCCGGGTAGAACGTAGAAGTATTCTGATGAAACTAGATGGTATATACATTGATACTGATTATTGTTTGGCGGATTTGGATGTAATTGGGGTTGACTTTCACATGAAAATTACCTTCTGTTTGGAAGTTGGATGCGTTTTCACATGAAAAAATATCACAAAGAAAGCCCTGAACCTAGATATGTATCCTTGCCTAGTTGCACCCATTGCTTCTTTACTTTGGGGGTTTACGCTTGCACCCAATAACGAGTATGGATGAATTGGAATCAACTGATGAACAAAATCCGGGCGTCTCTCAAGTGCTCTTATAAGTTGCAACTGACACAAGACAACCCTGCTGTGTGCCTGTGTCTTTCAAGTGCTCTTTTAAGTTGCAGGCTATATTTCTCTGGAGGGTTTTTATTCAAACTTACTTATTTCGGTGCTGTATGGACTTCCATGTCCGTTTTTCCGGCCTTCTTAATGCAGGCTTTTGAGGAAGCGATTGCTGAAATAGACACATTGGGTGAAGAATCGTACAAAGACAGCACCTTGATCATGCAACTTCTAAGGGACAACCTTACTCTGTGGACATCAGATGTGCAGGTAAGCAGCGTATATTTATCTCTTTTCGGGTGTTCGTTAACAGGGAAATCCCATCGTTCAAAATCCGACTCCAAAACCTGCTTTTTTCACTTGCTGCAGGAACAATTGGATGAGCCCTAGAGATGGCCGGCAGGGAATCAACTTGGGGGGAACAGTCCTAGTCTTCTTTTGTGAAGAAGGAGGTGGGCTTTGAATGTCATGTTATTCGGTGGTCCTTGATTATGACCTGAAAAGTTGTGTTTAGTTTGATGGAGAAACCTTTTGCATAAAAAAACACCCGATGGACGAGATGCTGATTTTTCATGTATTTGAAGACCTAAAACTGGCTTTTGAATTGCAGTCAAAGTCCAAGGAGGAAGTGTTAGCTTTATGATCATGTGCCTTCCTTTTTTGCTTATTATGCTTTGGCGTTATGTTCCTTTTACTAGATTCTTTCTCTAGCATGGGAGATATAGTTCATCAGTCCAGCTGGACATGATTTGTTGTTTTATACCTTCCTAGTGGACGCCATTATCTACTGATAGGTGTTTTACGGAGAGTTTGCCGATTTTTTTCCAGAAAGAATTTTTTTTTTCAAAAATACAACCCATTTCCGAAATTTTTTTCCAAAAATATTACCATTTCTCAAAACCACCTGGTGGGGGCATGCATGGGTTCCGATGTAAACCGCATGAGTGGGGCAGTTTTGGTGACCGCATGGGTCGGGCCGGTTTGGTTCATTTTTTTTATAAATTTAAACGAGCGTATTTTTGTGTTCGGGTATTCATCGTAACGAATTTTTTTTTGATTCTGCATAACTTTTCGAGATCTTGCAGCAGGCGGTTTGGTCTCGCCTTCGTTCCGAAAAAACGTCGTTTGCTACCCCGAATGAGCTTTTTCCGATTTTGCCAAACTTTGTACGGTCATAACTTTGTGCTCCGCACTCCGAACGTCATGAATTTTTTTATATTTAGCATATCTTTTTAAGGACTACGTCTTTTAGTAGGAAGGAATTATCAAAGCATGAATTATTTTTGGATATACAGGATTTTGGCAATAACATTACCTTCACTTTTCACAAATTCACGTATATTCCGAAAATGATGGCTTATGATAAAAATTAATTACGGTAAGGTCTATTTAGTATTTAGCAACAACTCAAATTGTGCTGTTTTTGCAAGAATTCTATCTACAGTTAGTGCTTAATTGTAACTATCCAAATGTGAGATATACTTTGGGATGAATCTGCCCTCTTTAAGCAAAATGCCTCACAACAAACTGGTTTCAAGGAGGGCTATCTACCTTTGAGATACCTAAGATTGCCTTTGATATCAGCACGCAATCGAATAAAGAGAGACATGTGTTGATTTCTAAACTACAAATAAAGTTCAATATTGGAGAGCTAATAATATGTTCTAAACTCAGGTATCTACCTGTGAGATACCTGAGATTGTCTTTGATATCAGGCACGCAATCGAGAGCACTTTTACTATGCTATATAGCATTGGTGTTTATTGTACAACTTAAAGTTGTACCATAACATTAAATGTATAAGTTTAGGTTGTACCATAAAGCAATTTGTATCGTTATGGTACAACTTTACAACTTGAAGTTGTACCATCACATAAAGGTACAAGTTCAAGTTGTACCATAAAAGAATTTGTACAAAAAGTACAGGTACAATCTGAAATTGTACCATAACGTAAATGTACAATTTTAAGTTGTACCATAAAGACAAAAACCCATAGCACAAATACTATATAGCATTGTAAAATTTCTCCGCAATCGAATAAAGAGACATGTGTTGGTTTCTAAACTCACAAATAAAGTTCAATATTAGAGAGCTAATAATCTGTCCTATGTAGACAGATCGTAAGTTAATGTCCCCTGTTTTCATGGATGTGGTGCATTATTCGATGTGGATTATCTTGTTTCTAAAGAAAGTACTTAAACCAATTCATCTAGTATGCTCCAATTTTCTATGGTATGGAGAAGAAATTTGGAACCTAAAGGTGGTTGGGGAATGAAGGATTTGTTGACATGGAGCTGTTCTTAATGGAGTTGGGGGCAATTTGGGTGGCCTAGATGAAGGGATATAGATGTAGAGGAGCACAACTATGGTCATGAAAGTTCTGTCAAGAACCAGTTGATTACAATAACTCGAGTTGTTGGGAAACATTCAATTGTAGATCATATACCACAACACTAACACGCCCCCTCAAACGAAAGCCACTCACAAGGGCTTGAAGTTTGCATAGGTTTGAAGACAAGAATACCATGTGCTTAACAAATGGGGGTCATCGGGAATCGAACACAAGACCTCTCGGTCACAGAAGGCTCTAATACCATGTCAAGAACCAGTTGATCCCGATAACTTGAGTTGTTGGAAAATGTTGAATCGTAGATCATATACCACAACACTAACAAGTTCCACCTAGTAGTTCTCGGAGTGGAGAAGTATTCTTAAACTCATACCTATTTTTCCACCTAGACTAAGAGAAACGATACACTGTTGTGGGGCTGAAAACCTATTCAACAGTATTATGATAAGATTTTCTGGACTCATTGAGACATCAACAAAAAAGAGTTCCATGTTATAAGTTGATTTGGTGTATAAATTTCCCTTCACATTTCAGTCTAATTGATTGGCCAACAATGTTGAATGCTATAACTAAAGATAAGCTGAACAGATGAGGTAAAGTGTTTGATGGTACGTGTGTCCTGTGTGGATTTGAGAAAGACTCGAGCGAGCAATTATTCTTCAAGGTAAACAATTAACAATCCTAGAGATGCAACATATTTCACAAGGTCTTTACCATCTCATCAAAACTAGATGCTTATGGTGAGGGATATCGAATGACATAAAGTAAAAACGATGGGTTAAGGTTCCCTAAGTATTTCAAGTATGACATAAAGAGAAGCAAAGAGTAAACAATAGAATGAAAAATATTAGGTGAATTGCAAGTTTGGTCACTCATATTATCTATTTGTAACATGTTAGCCACCCAAATCATTTTCCCTTCAATTTAGCCACTAATATTACACGTTTATGTCATTTATGGTCACTCTCCGTCCAACTCTGTTATGTTTATCCTATGTGGCAGTCAACTTTAACGTTTGACTGTTAAAAAACTGATGTGTCCATTAAAAAATAAATAAAAATAAAAAATATTTTCCACCTCTTCTTTCTTTCCTAACCTAATCGTTTGAGAACGCCTAAAAAAGTAAAAGAACCTAACCCTTTGAGAAATTATTTTCCCCACAGCCTCCGCCGCTTCTGCTTCCATGCCGGCTTGTTGCCTCCGGTGTTGGAATCCAGCTCCGCCGAGGAGTCGGCGGCGAATTCGTACAAGTTGTGCTGCGAAGTTGCCAGAGAAGGATTCACGTGGTTACCGTTGTGTGTAGGGGAAGGCACGCCGCTGGATGTTGGTAAAGGAGGTGGCGGAGGCGGGACCGCCTAATTCCGATGAGCGAATTACTGGTCACTTCCACGCCGCAGTCGCGGAGGAGTTGGTGAGACTCCGGATGTAGAAGGCGAGAGCGAGATCAGGACTCAGGAGTGATTGACATGAGCTCGTCCGGCGAGGGAAGGTACTCCTCACATCGAGCGAACCAATTGCAGTCTACCTTCCCTCAGAGCTCGTGGCTCCGGCGAGGGAAGCTTATCTTCTCATCGAGCGAACCAGATGAGCTCGGCGAGGCCGAGGTTAGGCTAAGTCGACGATTACCACCGACCATCGATTTCGAATCGGGAAACTCAAATAATTCGAAGCTCTTTGTGAAGAATTTGATGACGCGGAATTGAAAATAACACGGGACAACGAGTTTTACGTGGTATCCTCGATCGATTGATTGATCGAGACTAATCCACGGTGAGCTCGGAACGAGCTCACGGCTAACGATTTTATTATGAGACTACATTGTGACGGCTTGCTTATGACAGAACCATAGCTAAGCTTTTATAGAGAACGACTTAAGGTTAAAACCCTAAAGACAACCAAGTTACCTCTTTTACCCGGACAAGGAAACAAGGGACTTGTTGGACAAGGAATTAATTACATTTTGACTAAGTAATTAATATCCTCAACACTCCCCCTCAAGCGAAGACATGAATGACAAGAATGTCGAGCTTGAAGCTGAACAACACTCAAACAACCTCTTGCTGGCAATGACGATCCAACAGGAGGTGACTTTGTTTGCTTGTGGGAGAGGTAGACAAATGATCAAACTACTCCATGCTTGACCCAGTTCTTTTGACAGTGAACTCAGCATGGTGAAATTCCTTGACGTCTTGGATGAGAATGATCCGACTCCATCCTTGACCTAGTTCAACAATAGTGAACTCCACATGGTGGAATTACCTTGACGTGTTGGATGAGACTGATGACTGCGTTGCTGACTTTGGAGACTTCTAAATGCACTGCTGACCGTGCTTCTCCGAGCAACGTGACTGAGTTGGTACATCGCGGTCGACTTGATGACTGAGCTAGTCGACCGACGTATGTTGACTCCCTATTCTCCCCCTCAAGCTGGAGCATGAACAATGTGAATGCCCAGCTTGAAAGTTAGAACGATGATGACTCAACATTGACCGATGCTGAACGTGGAGGGGACGATCGCTTCTTTGATCGTGCCTGCCTCGCTTGATAACTTGAACTTCTTTATTGACGAAAGTTGTGTCTCCCCAACACTAGCAATTGAAGGGACGACCACGGCAGGTCGCGATTGTCTTCAATGCCATGACTTTAATCGATGTTGGTGAAGATTTTCCTCTCTAAGTGACCTTGACCGGCCATAATGACAACTTGACTCCAGCTGTGGACAAAGTATGAATTCCACGGCACACCTCGTGGGCTGTAAACTTCGGAAGTATCCCTGAACTGAGTGTTGATGGTGAGGATACTAGTCACAATAAACAAGCTGGACAAAGCACATGTGACTACGTGTGCAATAAATTATGGAATCAATGAAGGAATAGGTCACCAAAAGCAAACAAACTCTATGCTGCCACAGTTTCTCCCAAAACTGATCCTTGTGCACTGCGAACACCACCACAACCACCATAAACATTAACCTGGACCACGTGCAATGCCAATGCCCCACGACAAATTGTGATTGCTCGCCGGAACGATGACAAGTAAATTATGGTGACCCACCAACCGGTCTTCACTCCCCAAGTCGTCCTCGTCAAAGTCCTCACATCGGCGCCCTCGTCAGGTAGATTGAAATCCAACGGCCGTCGAAAATCGTCGGGCGGTGACTTCTCGACAAAACCTGCCTCTTGATTTTCACAAGCTGAACGAGAGTCACCCCCACGGTTGTGATTTGATTGAAACGCTCCCGGCGCCTGATCTGATTCTGTTTGAGCTTGGCCTTCCTGTTGCCAACGACGAACAAGACTTCGGACGAGGACAGCGCCAATCGAGACGAAGAAGAACAGACCGAGCAGTAGCCAACTCATGATCGCCATGGATGGCAGCTGGGCTGCGGGCGATGGATTTGCCTTGAACGGCAACTGGGCGATGAGATGACGCGGAATTGAAAATAACACGGGACAACGAGTTTTACGTGGTATCCTCGATCGATTGATTGATCGAGACTAATCCACGGTGAGCTCGGAACGAGCTCACGGCTGACGATTTTATTGTGAGACTACATTGTGACGGCTTGCTTATGACAGAACCATAGCTAAGCTTTTATAGAGAATGACTTAGGGTTAAAACCCTAAAGACAACCAAGTTCCCTCTTTTACCCGGACAAGGAAACAAGGGACTTGTTGGACAAGGAATTAATTACATTTTGACTAAGTAATTAATATCCTCAACACTTTGGATTAGGCTAATCTCTTTGCGTTCGATTACCACCGGCCGACCAAAGAAAATTTTGCTCTGTTTTTGCTGCCTCCAGCAATGCAGGGTAGGATAATTTTGACCTTCTTCCTCCTCGACGACGGAATCCCAGCGGTGACTAAGGGCGACGATGGAGAGAGGAGACGACGTAGGTGGCATGTGGCTGGGCTACGCGGGTGGGCGAAGGGCTTTTTTCTTCTTCTTCTACCTCCTCCAGCTCGGAAGCTTCAGAGATGGCGGCGGCGACCGGCGGAACAGAAATCGGAAGACGCAAGAGCAGCAACTTCCGTTTATTAATAAATATTTATATTGATTACTTTTTGTGAAAAGTTATCAATTAGGTTTTATTATGATGTGGAGATAAAAAATAATTATTTTTATTATTTTTAATTAACACATAAGCTTTTTAACGGTCAAACGTTGGAGTTGACTGCCACCTAGACCAGATTTAACGGATTTCGACGGTGGTGACCAACGATGAAATAAACGTATAGTAATAGTGGCTAAATTGAAGGGAAAGTGATTCGGGTGGCTAACATGTTACAATTAAATAATATGAGTGACCAAACTTGCAATTCACCCGAAAAATATTAAAGCAAATAAGATATAATTGTTTAGGAAGTATCATCTAGATAAGCATGCATACTCGGAAGTATCATTTGGTCCTCCAAAGTTATCCAATGTTTGATCCAATCTATCCTCGGTTGTTTTGTACGTTGAAAACAATTAAAAAAACATACTAGGAAGGCATCAAATAGTACAAAGTACAACCTAGGTCTATTTAATCAATCTATTAAATGCCGATTGATTAAATAGTTATAATTTAGATATGAAATACAAGAGAAAGTGCTACAAATGATTGATAGAAGGGGAAAATGTATCAATTACGAGAATGACAAACATTATATATAAATAGAGTGTAATCATTCATCATATATAATTGCTACATTTAATTGATCTTTATTGTTTAGAAGCGGATCTTGAAATGAAACTATCCATGTTACAATCTATGTTTCCTATCACCCAACTGTTACAAGTCGAAAAATTGTGCACAAAGTGGTGTTTCTAGTGACAATTGTATGGCGTGAATGATGTCAATGTCTCCACATGGAGGTTAGACGAGAAGTGTAAGTTGTGGAGGCGATCTATTTTCAACAATTCGAAGAATTAGAATCTTTAGATTGTTAACACTCTATAGATTTAAACTCAGATTCTCCAAACGACCCCTTAAGTTTTTGAACGTATTCCAAAACTCAATTACGTGTTCTCTTTTGTCGCGTAACAAAAACTCAGTACTGCAAATATCTTCATACCCTGCTAAATTTTGATTTGGGTTTGAACTTGGCGTTCATATGGCACTGGGTCTGGGTGATAGGCCTGGAACAAAATTTTGGTTTATGTTCATAAAATTAATTAGAAATTAAGAACTAGGGATTTAAATCTTATTGCATGCGGTTGTGTTTAAAATTTAAAAACTAAAAGTTGGTCGTATATGGTTAATAATTTGATACATAAATTATTATATTGTATGATCAAAATATTTTTTAACAGGTTGAGATATAGAGTTCTCTAATGTTACATAATTTGACTAGGATTATCAACCTTAACCATATATAGAAAATCTTAATAATGAGTTGATTATCATGATTAGAAAACTTATTCACCAGTGGTTATGGAGCCATTTGAAATTTATATCGATATATGCAACTGAAAAATCTGAAATTAAAAAATTTCAATAAAATTCTAAATGTAGATAACTCATTAAAAGGTGTGTATTCCGGCCAACCGGCCGGGTTCAAACTAGTGCTAAAGAGAGAATAGTTGTTCTTAGTATATCAGAATGTAGCACTTTGAACTAATCTAGAGAGTGTTGTTTGTATATGATTCATGGTCATGATTTGTATATAGGAACTGGTAGGATTGTCATGTTGAGTTTTGTAGATGTTGGTGATCCTTATATAGTCGTAACGCTTGTATTAAATTAGGTGTTCTATGGACAAAAAATTTTCACCAATCTTTTTTATAAGGTGATATAGATTTGGTTTTTAATTAGGTGCTATATAAAGGATTTGAAATTATGATTTTTAAATTCAAGACCACAAATATTACCACGGTACCACGCTCTTGTTCGTTTTTGCAATAATTTTTTGTGGGCAATTAAGTAATGTAGAGGGGCAATATTTCTGTGGATATATATTTTTGGCTCATGTGGGGTGATGTGACAACAATGGCAGGAATTTATGTTTAGTCACTAACAATTAAACCAATTGATTGTTAGTGTTCACAGTTAACTCAAATACCAGGCTACAGTTTCCCATTATTGTGAAAGTTCGGCCATATTTTCATAATTGAAAATTGGTGCCAAAATTGCCAATTTGTACAAAGATGATGCCATATTAGGGTATGAATTCAAGATTACAATATCAAAGCAGAGGGACTAACCTAACATTTTAGTCAAGTTAAATAACATAGATGAGTATAGAAAGGACATATGCTAAAATGGATAATGCAATAAACAACATTAGAACCTATGACCTAATGTGCATTATGTAACATGCTTATCATCAAAACAGAGACAACACAATGCTTTACTTTTACGCTACACCGTATACAGATCTTTTTTTTTTTGACAAAAGATAATCATATATTGATTTAGAAAAAAAGGCAATTACACCCTGGAATTCAGCCAGGCCTGATAATCAAAACGACTTGTAGTCGGGTACAAAGAAAGGGCTTTTTTAGCCACCAAATGAGCTACCCTATTGCTACGCCGACCAACAAATCGCACCGTAAATCCCAAATTCATGTCAAACATCTGGACCACCTCCTCCAAAATCGATCCCACGCGACTGTCCGTAGCCTCCCGCCGAAGAATCCTCTCAATGATCACCTGGGCATCCCCCTCAAAGCGCACCATACTAAAACCATTATCCAAACACCAATAGACCGCCTCTCGGAGAACATCTGCCTCACTCACCAAAGGGTCATCTATTCCCGGGAGCTGAATCCCCCTGACAAAGAGGATCGCTCTAGTAGAACTCATGAGAACCATTCCCCCTGCTGAATGGGACCCAGTCCGCACAGCCCCATCCCACATGCAGACCACCCCAGGTGAGTCCACCGAATCTAGGGGGGAATGCGTGAAATCGGGCGCTGGACAAATTGAGTCGCCGGAAGATCAACCCACTCTTGGACCTGCTGGTTAAGCTGACGCATTAGGGCTGGGATCCCAAACTGCTTGCCTTCGAAGACAACCCAATTACGAGATCGCCATATACGCCATAATGCAGCCACCACCAACATTAGCGACGAAGGCTGGTTCAGCAACGACATCAATCTCTTCAGAAAGAGCGGGAAGGTGTGTCGAGGCAGTCCCTCGCCCAGGTGGGCCATCCCAGAGTGATCCCAAAGGGCCCGAGCCACCGGGCACTCCAGAAACAAGTGTTCCAGAGTCTCCGATGCCTCCCAACAAACAGGACAGCGAGGCAAGACCTCCGCCTTCCTCTCAATCAGGGCCTCCGTAGTAGGCAGGATTCTATGGAATATCTGCCAGAGAAACATCTTAAGCTTAGGCGGGATATTAGCGTCCCACAACCTGATCCAGCTTGCCTTATCCATCCAGCTGACCAGCGCCCTCCAACGACCTCGCTGTCGATCCAAGTTGACCGCAACGTAATAAGCAGATTTAACCGTAAAAACACCATCTGGAATCACATGCCAGATCAATCGATCCTCAATATTCTGCCTGGGTAGGGGAATAGCTTGAATAGCTCGGCAAGTCTGTTGATCAAACCATTGTTCAAGCTTCCTCGCGCACCAGGCCCCTCCTCCCGGTTGAATAACCTCTGCCACAGTCAACTCCTCCCCCGCCGGAATCACACAAGGATTAAAGACTGGAGGGGAGGGATGTTGCTGCGGGATCCAACTAGACGTGAGAAGAGGGGCTTTCTGCCCATTACCAATCTGCCAACATAATCCCTTCTCCAACAACTGACGTCCGAAGAGGATGCTCTGCCATCCCCACGATGGACGCGATCTAGCTGTCGCTGTGAGAAAGGACCCATTGGGATAATACTTTCCTTTGTGCACATGGGCAAGGAGAGAGTTAGGCTCCTGAAGGAGGCGCCAGCCAATTTTAGCAAGCAGTGCCTTATTGAAATGCTCAAACCGGCGAAAGCCCATCCCCCCTTCATGCTTACTTTTGCACATGTTCCGCCAAGAAACCCAACGTATCCTTGTCTTACCCTCTTCGACCCCCCACCAGAATCGCGCTATATGCTTATCCAGAAGGAGACAAAGGGATAAAGGCAGCTTAAAGCATGACATGACATGCAGCGGCAGGGCTAAGGCTACTGATTTAATAAGTACCTCTTTTGCCGCCCATGACAACGTTCTACGTTTCCAACCCTGTAACCTAGCCAAAAGCTTTTCCTCTAGGTATCGAAAAGTCGCCAACTTAGAGCGGGCAATGAGGAAGGGGAGACCAAGATATTTATCCTGGACTCCCACAGCCCCGACACCAAGGATTGCTGCCAAGAACTCCTGATCTGCCAAAGCGATATTTTTACTAAATCAAACGGCAGACTTCTCTAAGTTCACCCTTTGGCCACTAAGCTCCTCGTATTCATTGAGAACCTCAATCAAATTCTCACATTCCTGCAGAGACCCTCGCAGGAAAAGATAAGAATCATCAGCGAAGAACAAATGCGAAATACGAGGCGCACACGGGGTCACCTTCACTCCTTGTAATTTCCCCAATCCAATGGCTTTCCTTAACAAGGCAGCAAAGCCCTCCGTACAGATGACAAACAGGAGAGGCGAGA